AAGTACAGATCTGTGATTCAACAGTCTTGCACAATTCACAGCGCTCACCATAGCACATACCCTCCCCAATGTCTATCACCCAGCCACCCCATCCCTCCCACCCCCCACCACTCAGCAACCCTCAGTTTGTTTCCTGAGATTAAGAATTCACAGCCTTTTTGTGGAAGCTGAACAGTCCAGACTCAGGCTCCAGCCATTAGAGGTCCTCAGCTGTGCAGCTCAGGAAAGAGACCCAGAGAGACTAAGTCACCTCCCTGGGGACACAGGGTAGGAATGTGGCAGAGGTGGGATTCCCACCCAGGCCTCTCTGTCTCCACGTCCTGCATTCTCAGCTGCCCCTCCACAGGAGCTCTTGGTTTTAACTGTCTCTCCTGATTTTACACAAGGCTGAGGGCCTGGGGAAGGCGCGGCTGCAGCCAGCTCTTAAGCACAGTGGGGACGGTGTGTCATGTGTCCACAACAAAGCAATGACTGCCTTGTCAGTGCTGGGGTCCCACTTAATCGGGAACAGTGCCCAGGACTTGGACATGCATCAGCTGACTCAGTCCTCCAGAGCAACCCTAATACTGATGAGGAAACTGAGCCTCACTGAGGCTGGCAGCTCTGTGCAGAGCCATGCAGACAGTGAGGGGCGGAATTGGGCCTTGAAATTCCTCGGTCTCACTCTGGAGCACCCCCAAACCCCAGCTCCCCATCTACAATGTGCGCTCCCGGAATGGGACTTTGATGATTCCTGCTGCCTTCCTGGAGCCCAACAGTGCCTGGATCCTGGAAGGCACTCAGCAAGTGTTTGTTGAATGAATACATGAGCCCCAGCAGGAACCCGAGGCTTGAGAAGCCCAAAGAAAAACCATAGGACCAGAGGCTCTTCCCACCAGCCTCAGTTTAGACAGCTGACTCCTACAACTCAATAGCGACAAAACAACCAGATTTAAAAGTGGGCAGAGGACTTGAACTGACATTTCTCCAAAGAAGACATACAGAAGGCCAACGAAAATATGTGTAAAGAGACCCCACATCACTCATCACCAATGCAAATCAAAACCAAAACGAGATAGCCCCCTCCCACTTGTTAGAGTGGCTGGTATTTAAAAAAAAGGTAACGGGTGTTGGCGAGGGTGGGGAGAATGGGGGACCCCTCGTGCACTGTCGGTGGGATTGCAAACTGGCGCAGCCGCTGTGGAAACAGCGAGGAGGTTCCTCACAAAACGAACACCAGAACCACCACGTGATCCAGCAATCCCACTTCTGGTATATGCATCCCCAAAACCTGAAGACAGGATGGTGAAGAGGGTCTGCATTCCCATACTCATGGCAGCATGATTCATGATAGCCAAGATGCAGAAACAATCTAAACATCCGCCGAGAGATGCACGGACAGAGAAAATGTCCTATGTACCTACGACGGTATTATTCAGCCTTTAAAAAGAAGGAAATCCTACAACTTGCAGCAACGTGGATGGACTTGGAGGACAGAATGCGAAGCCAGGTGGGCCAGTCAGAGGACAGCGGTTGCATGACTCGTCTCCGGTGAAACATCTAAAGGGACTCAAACTTCTAGATGCAGAGAATAGAATGATAGTTGCCAGGAGCTGGGAGGCGGGGGGGGGGGGGGGGGAGGTGTTCAATGGTTATAAAGTCTTTGTCACACAACGTGAGTAAATCCTAGAGCTCTGCTATACAACATTGTGTCTACAGCTGACAATAATGCATTGCACATCTAAAAATGTGTTGAGGGCGGATATCCTGTTTTGGATTCTTGCCACACACACATACACAATATAACACAAAAGGCAACTACAATGACAAGGGACACACAAGGAAACATGTGGAGGTGATGGATATGTTTGTTACCTTGACTGTGGTGATGGTAACACAGGTATATGCATATGTCCAAGCTTATCAACTTGTAGATGTTAATTGTGCTCAGCTTTTTGTATAAAAATTATACTTCAATAAAGCTGAGAAAGAAAATAGCACAGGTTTCTGCCCACCCCCCCACCCCCCGGCCAACTGCTAGGCCTGGCCTAACCCTGACAAAGTCTGGAAGCCAGCTGCTGGGACTGGGCTTGCCCCCAGGGGACATGCACGTCTCTGAACAATGTCGGGAAAGGAAACCAAATGCAAAGGCTGTCAGGGGGTTTCTGCTCATTTTTGGCCCTGGGGGTGGAGGGGTAGGCCAGAAGGCTCCCTGGGGCAGGGGGAGGGGGCTTGACTGGGGCCTGGGGAGAAAGGGGCCCAGGTATGGAAGGCCCACCGCGTAACAATGATTATTATAACGAGAGGCTGTTACTTATGGAAAGCTGTGTTGTGCTCAGCTCTGTGTTATGCACTACCTTGAATTCTTTAAACAACTTTCTAAGGTAGGTATTTTTTTTTACCAGCTTTATTGAGATATGTCATATATACACAATTTGCCCTTCTAAAATGTACAGTTCAATAGCTTTGGATATCTTTGCAGCACTGTTCGACCATCTTCACAATTTTAGAACTTTCTCCTCACTCCAAAGGGAAACCCCGTACCCCTTAGTCATCACCTTCCAGTACCTACCTGCCCTCAGTCCTAGGCAAGCACTCATCTACTTTCTGTCTATAGATTTGCCTATTCTGGACAGCCCAGAGGATGGAATGATGGGGAAACTGGAGGTTCAGAGAGGGTGACTGACCAGCATAAGGTCACACAGCTAAGGAAGTGGCTTGAATCCAGGTCTCCCTGTTCTTCAAGTCCCCACTTTCCTGCTACACCACAGGGTTCTTCTTTCCAATGACAACATTAAAAACAGCTCTGACGGTTGAAGCAGGATGCCCATTTTAGCTTGTCACATTTAATCCTCGCCATCGCCCGGGGGTGGGGGGGAGGGCAGATACAGTTATTCTGCCCATTTGGCAGAGTGGGAAACAGAAACACTGAGGGCCTAATGGTCTAGTGTGCCATGGGGGCTAGCCAATGGAAGAGGGTTATGGGGAAAAAAAACAATATGTACATACTGAGGACTGGCAAGGAAACACAGGATAAAAAGTTGAGGCAATGCTGATGAAAAGACAAGTTTCTTTCAGGTTATTCCCCCCCTCTTCTTTCTTTTTATATGAAAAGGAAAAGAAAGTTCCCTCCACCCTTTGAGGTCACTTCCTGACCCATTTGTGAATTTGTGTGGAGTGGTTACAAATTCACTTCTCCCTGCCTGACTGCCTCTTGTTAATGTTTTGGATGGGCAATGGGTGCTGGCACCAGACAGACCTGGGTTCAAATCCTGCCTCCACCGCCCATTGACTTAACACCTGCAAGTCCTCCCCATGACGGGTACTTTTCTTTTTCTTTCTTTCCTTTTTTTTTTTTTTTTTTTTGACACCGTGTCTTCTCCCCCTTCCTACTGTGCTTTGGAAAAGATATGTCATTTTGTATTTGAGTTCTCCCAGAAGGAGGTGGGGTGGGGAGGGGCTAAGGTCCCAATTATTTTGAACAAACAAGCTGAAGTTTAAGAAAAAGAGATGAGGAGCCCCAGAGATTCCCATTCATTGCACCAGATGCCTTTAGCTATTCACCTGAAGATAAACAATGAGGCAGAGAAGAAAAGCAATGAAAAAATACGAAGAAGCAAACTGCCATGTACTGTAATCATCATCTCATGCAGGTATTTTAGCTGCCAAGATGCTGTAGGCTTACAGTCGCAGGTTAAAAGGGAGTTCTTCGAATTGAAGCATGGACTTCATGTTCTTCTTTTCTTGCTTGGCCCCAGGGACCAGAGAAAACTCCAGCCAGAATTAGCATCTGTTTGGACAGAGGTTAAGAGCCAAGGCTTCCAGTAGTGGTCTCCAAAACTTCTGATTGCATACAGTCTCATTTTGTCGGCAGGAGATTCAACATGCTTCCCTATACAAGCAGATTTTGGAATAGTAAATTGTACACATATATGGTTGCACCGAGGTACCATGCATATGGTGTAAGAGGTACTAAAGTGTTAAAAAGATTGATGGAAATAAATATTGTTGGGAATTCTTAAAAAAAAAGGCAAAGAAATTTAACCTTGAGTTAGCCACTATTTCTTGGAAATTGGCCCCATGATTCCAAGTGGCTGACGCTGTAAGAAGCCTCTCAAAGAACTCTTTAGAAAACAGGGCAGTAAGTGGTGCTTGGTGGTGAACAGTCACTGGTACACTCCTGAGATGGGGCAGGGAAAGAAATGAATCTATGGAGTTCTGAAGTTGGTGAATGCGTCCTGTGACTTCACATAGAACATTTTCAGTCGGAGCAACATTCACGTGATCAAAAAATGCTGTAACTCAATTTCGGAGTAGCACTGATGTGCTGAGGGCTCTGTAGGTGACCCTCACGCTGGCTTGAATCACCACGAGGACACTTGTGCCAAAGGTGCACACGAAAAGTTTAAGTAACATGGTTTCGTGAAACACAAGAATGGAAAAGAGCCGTTAACTACCATAAGTAGGCATTTGACTATCTCCTCCATGTGCTTAGAAGTTCACCAAGGGAGCCATTAAAAAACATCTTACTGGGAAACCGGGAGATCAGTTCCCAATTCTGTCTTCCTTACAACAAACTTTCGGGGCCAGCGCTGTTTGATCCCGCCTGACGGACGGGGACACTGAGGCTGGGCGCACTGAAGTGGTTTGCCCAAGGTAGTGAGAGGTGGTCTGACACCCGCGCAGCCTCGCTGACGATTTGAAATTGCGGCGGGTGAACGGCCATCTCCAGGTGATGATGAGTTTGTTCACCGTACGTAAAAGCACCTGGATGGAGTAGGCCTCCACCAATGCTAGGCCGGCGCCCGCAAGTTCTCGCTCTCCCTCGCCAGTGGCCTCGGGCAGCTCGCTCCCCCGCCCGCGGTCTCAGTTTCCTCCCCTGGCCGCGGAAGCGGGGTCTCTGGCGCGGACGAGGTGCCGGGGTGCGCCGCGCGGCGGGCGGGGCGGGGCGGCCTCGGGGCCGCGGGGGGCGGGCCGGGGCGCGGGGGGCGGCCCCCACGAGTCACGTGGCGCGCGGCCGCGGCCGAAGCAGAAGTAGCAGCGCCCGCGTTGGAGGGCGCGCGCGGCAGGGAGTGCCCGGAGCCGGGACCCGCGGCGGGGGCACGGCCAGGTGAGTGGCCCGGCGGGGCGGGAATGCGCGCGGGCGCCCGGCGTGGGGAGGACCCGCGCCCGGAGACGGGGGACGGCGCCGGGGCGCAGCGGGCAGGGGCAGGAGCGGGGCGCGCCGTCGGGGGCCCCCGCCCGCTGTGTCCGGGGCCGGGCGGTGGAGGCGGGGGTCGGGGCCTGGCCGCCGGCCACTTCCTCACCGGGAACGGCGCCACCTCGGCGATCCGTGCCCGCGGACGGCCCGGCCTTTGAATGGGAACCCGGGAGGGTCGCGCTGGCGTTGGCGTTCAAGGCTCCCGTGGCCGCGGGGTCCCGCGTGGGGTCTGGCGGTGTTTCCCGGCTGCTTCTGTGCTCAGGGCTCGCTGACCGCGGGCGGCCAGGCCGGCCCCCGGCGCTTCCCCGTATTACACAGGTGGTTGCGGGTGGTGGGTGGCGGAGCGATACCACGGAAGGGGCAGCCCTCACCCAGAAGAGACGGGGAGGGTTTTGGGGGAGTCAAGGATTCCCGCTCCCACCCCACAGTTGTAGGCATAATTATACGTGTTGGTCTGTGCGTTTTCCTGGTTATGGTTTGGAATCCCAACAAGGTCATTCCCCTTCCTCCCCCCCCCCCCCCATAGTGGAAGAATTTGAGGGAAAACTGTCTCCTTTAGACAAGGGTTGGCGCCTGGTTTCTGGTGGAGAACGGGGAGGGGCTCTTCTAGCACCCTGATCTTAAGCCAGACTGAAAGAGTCTGGTGGGTTGAGGGGGTGACGTGGCACAAGGCAACAGGTGGCCTTGTTAATCAACTTAATTTGAATTTCAATTCCAGCTGTGTGACCCTGGGCACGTTGAAGAACCTCCCTGAGCCTCCATTCCTTACCCTGGATCCTGGGGCTACTCAAACCTACATTCCAGGCTTGTTGAGAATTGGAGCCTATCTATGGAAAGGGTGCCCTGGCTAGTTCTTGACCCTCTCTGGCTAAGGGCCATACGTGGGGCTTGGCCATCATCCTTAGCTACAGTTCTGCAGAGAGGGGCCGATTTGGGGGCCCATGCCAGGCCCATGCCGTTAGCCTGCTGCAAAGGTGTGTGTGCATTGTGCATACCAGTTCAGGCTTCATGGATGCAGAAATCGCCTAGAGCTGCTGCTGCTGCCGCCTCCCCCAACCCAGGCCCCCGCCCCCACCTCTCTTGTCCCCTCCTACATGCCCCCCCACCTTGAGAGTGTAATACTTCTCTAGAAAAGGCAAAGCGGGGACCCCATGAATAGCCCTTTTGCTGGGTGGGGTTAGTGAGAAACTGCTGATAAGAAAATTTCAGAACCTTTCTTAATTTAGAAAACAGTGAAAACACAAGAAAGAAAAGCTCATCCATATGTTACCACTTAAATTAATAAAAAGTCAAGACCTGGTCTCTCCCCTCCCCTCTTCTGAAAGTAACCACTTTCCCTAGATTTATACGCAGGCAGCCTTTTAAAAAACCTAATTCTTTGATGCATACTGGTTTGCCACTCTTTTTTCATCTATTTCGTGAATCTTTCTGGATTCCATTGCTTATAAATTTTTGTGCTGCTATACAGCTGCGGAGCATTCTTTAGTGTGCGTGTCCCGTGATTTCTTTAAGGGACCTCCCTCCCAGTTGTGTTCTTTTCTATCACAAATAATGCTTCTGGGAACATCTTTGTGTTTCTTCCTCACCTTGGTGATTGCTGATCAAAGCATATGCATGTTTCATGGTTTGACAGATGATCATAGGTTGCCCCCTAAAAAAAAAAAAAAATGGACTCATTCACATTCCTCCCTGCCGTGGATGACACCACCTCTTCCTCCAATAAAAATCCATTGCCGCCGGGTGGGTGCTGAGATGCAGCCGTAACCACCTTCCTCTGAGTTGTTGGAGGGGCAGCTAACCTCTCAGGGATGTGACTGTGCAGAGTTTAACAGAGGATTGTTCTGTGGGACTTGATATGAACTCCTCTATGGGCCTAACGTGTACAGAGAACACTGAAGAGGAGAAACCATCCCTGCTTCCGGGTTCTGGGTCCTTGTAGCCCAGAAGTTTATTTTGAAAAGGACATGAAAAGTAGAAATGGCAAAACCTCTTACTAAATTTCAGACACCATAAGTCATTTTGCACAGGTACCCAGGGAGGATGAGAAACAGGACTAAAAAAGGGATTTCGAGGCCCTTTCTTTCATTTGTTCTTTTCTCCCTCCCCTCCCCTCCCCTCCCCCCCCCCCCTCCCCTCCCCTCCCCTCCCCTCCCCTTTCAGCAGAAGCAAAATGGAAATTGCCTCTGATAGCTAGTGCCTTCCCTTGGGGAGCCAACCTTGGAGACTTCCTTGCCTTAGCTGCTGAAGCATCAAACTCTGGAAACCTGAGTCAGGAGCTGGCTGGATTTTGTTGGTTGACTCCAAGGATCTCGTGGCCGTGAAGACCTCTTTCCAGTTCTTGGCGAGAGGCAACGGGACAGACTTGATGTTTATAGTTGGGCCAATGCACCAGGCTTCTGAGCTGGAAGTAACCAGAATCTGGGGAAGGTTACGTCCAAGGCCATCCCAGGGCGAGAGTCAGAAAGAAATGAAGACCCCAGTGCCTCCGGGCAGGCAGGTTTAATAGAGGGTGGAGGTGTTGTGACAGGGTGTGTGTCTCCTATTTATGCCCTGCTGTCCGTTGGCCTAGAGACCTGGGAGGGAACTCCAGGGGCACATGGCTGGGGGGTGGTCAGCACAGCGAAGAGCTGCAGAGCTGGGACCAGGTGCAAATCATGCTTCTGCCACTTCCCAGCTGTGTGACCTTGGACAAGGCCTTCAGTCTCTCTTGAGAGGGTTGGGAGGGCCAAACTAGTTACTTTCTGGCCAGATTCTGGTGCAGAATTCTGAGTTCCAGAAGGCAGGTGCTGACAGACTGGGGGCGTGGGATTCAGACCAAGGCTCTGATCCCGGTGCTGCCACGTTTCTGCATGACCTTGATCATGGAATTTCCCTCTCAGGACTTGGTTTTTCACCTCTGGTAGTTCTCATTGAGATAAATGACATAAACCGGGTATAGCAGGTGCTGGCCCCTGGGGAAAGCCAACAAACAGCTAGTTCACCAGGATGAGACTGGCCACAGGCACCTTGTTCAACGGCTTGACCTGGATTACAGGGTGATGAGGCAGGAGGCTCATCCCGGAGTCTGTGGCACAACCTAGTAGTCCTGCAGCTTGCTGGGCTTTGGCTTAAGCCAGCTCTTCTGGTTAGAACACTGTTCCCTCCTGCTTCACCTTTTGGATTCAGATACCCTCTCCTCCCAGAAGCTTTCTCTGATCTAAGTAGGGGTTGAGCTGACAGGTCTGATTCCAAGTGGGCAGAGAGCAGGTGTAATTCATGGTTTTACCTCCAGGTGCCTGTGGAGGTGCCTTTGGCGATGGGCAGGAGCTGGAGGGAGGAGGGGGCAAAGGGCAAGGCCTGGGCCTCGCCCCACTCCCCCTGATTTGCATACCATTTCCCAGCTCAGTTCCTGGCACAGAGTTGACAACTGGCTGATGACTATTATCTGAGGCCCTGCCAAGGGCTGGGGGCTGTACATTGTAGCTTTCAGTCCTTCCATCGCCTCTTGAGACTAGTATTATCCCCATTTTACAGATGAGGGAACCGAGGCCCTGATTTTGAGCAGCGTGGCAGGAGGCTGTCAGAAGCGGACCCAGAGTGAGGGCCTGCATGACCTTGGCTGAACACTTGCCTCTCTACAGAGTAACAGCTGTGGGCTCCTAATGCTGTGGCATTTGGGGGGCGGGGAGGAGGTTCACGGAACGACTGATGGCAGTAGTAGCAGGAGCTAAATCTGGGGGGCACTGACTTTGCATCAGTTTTAAGGGCCCCAAGATACACTATCTGGTTTAATCCTTCCAAGAACCCTGGAGATTCTTGGAAGGAGGGATCCCCCTTTACGAGTGTGGAAATAAGGCTTGGGCATGGGGGTCTAGAACGTCTTCCATTGGACTCCCCTCTGCAGAGCCAGGGCTCAGGCCATGACTGCAGCAGGCTGGTCAGAGGGGTTGACGGGATTTTCATCTTGTTCCAGAAGTGTCCTCTAGCTCCTGGTCACTACTGGGCTGTAGGGGGCTGGGGCAGAAGCAGGAGACCAGGTGGGCGATGAGAACAATCCAGCCGTGAGATCCTGGGAGGAGCCAGCGAGCCGGGAAGATGGGTTGCATTTTGCTTATGGATTGGATGTGGGTGTGAGTATGGCCAGGCAAGGATGACTGCGGATTTGGGGCCTTCCATCTCTCTGACTGTGTGTGGGTATGAGTGGTGTTCCAGAACGCCTACTGCGTGCTGAGCGGAACGCTGGAAGCCCCTCACCATGCCAACAGCGCCATTAGAGAAAGGACGCAGCTGAGGCTTGCGGAGGTCATGCAGCCTACCCAGGGCCACACACCAGGCCTCGACCCTGGGGCTGCTGGGCCCTGACCTTTTCTGTCCTTTTGGCTTCGTTTCCATGCAGAGGTCTCCACAGACACATTCTGAAGTGGCTTAATATTATTATTTTTTTTCTGTTCCCAACTTAGGAAGTAAGGGGATGCTAAGGAAAATCTAGGCAGAATAGAAAAGGTTGCTGGGGGTGGGGGTGGGGCCAGTCTGGGCTGCTTTGGCTATTCAGATATTCTAAGCATGGCAGTGTGTGGGGGGGGTAGGGGGCACTGCTAGGCTGGCGTGATTTGGTTAGTCAAAGCCAGGGTAACAGTTCGGTCCCTGAGGTGAGGGGCCTTTTCCCCCACGTCCACTTCTCTTTAAACCTCTGTGTCCTGCATGGGCGGTCTGAGTGGTCCACGATTCCCTGCCACCAGAACCCCCTCCTAAAACCCATCCTGGTGGGCATGAGACAGGATTTTGGCTGTTAACGAATCCCCTCCCCCACCCAGTTAACAAAAACCAATTCACGCCTCTATTCTGCCCTTCCAGCGCCCTCTTCCCTCGCTCCTGCCACCCCCCATTCTGCCAACAATGACCGCCCCAGTCAACGTGGACACCCTTCCTGAATACGAGAAGAGTCAGATCAAGAGAGCGCTGGAGCTGGGCACAGTGATGACGGTGTTCAGCTTCCGCAAATCCACCCCGGAGCGGAGGACCGTCCAGGTGATCATGGAGACGCGCCAGGTGGCCTGGAGCAAGACAGCCGACAAGATTGAGGGCTTCTGTGAGTACCCTGGAGCCCTGGCCCGTGCATCTCTCCCTTTCCCGCCTTCGCTTATTGGCCTGATACCTTCTCTTCTTCTTCTGGAAATGCAAGTGTGGCCATTCTGTCTGCGTCTCCAGTGGGGTTTAGAGTAGGTGGGGGACGTTCGGCCAGAAACGCCCTGGTGAAGCAGCAGAGGCCTGCGTGGGCCAACTTGGAAGTGACATTGAGGTGGCTCACCTGGGCTGGCAGGGGTGTGCGCCCTGCCTGACAGCACTGGGGATCCTTTAGTTTCTGCTGCTGGTCAAGCTCTCTGCCCTCCTAATGGCTAAATGATAGAGCCGCAGAAACTCCAGGCTTGCTAGCCAAATGCCTGTTTTGTTTTACCATGAACCACAGAACCAGAGGCCTTTACTTTTGCTCCGTGTGGCCAGAGCACATCACTGAGGATTCTGTAGCTTTTAAATAAAGCTCTGGTCCTGAAGGTGGTGTGTTCTTTCCCCACCCACCTTAGATTGGGCAATTGGCTCAGTTCCTAAAGTTTCTAAGACTGTTTTTAACAAACGGAGTAAGGAGGCTTAAGCAATTTTCAGTTGCAGACTTGCTTTAATTTGCATTTTTTTAAATGGACTCCTTTTTTAAAAAGTCAGCATAATTGAAAAATTAAAATATACACTGGGAAAAAAAAATCAAACAATTCATTAATACATGTATCTCCTCCCCAGCCCCACCTTGTGCCCTGGGGCGAGCTCATTACCAAGTTCTTCTGGCTTCTAGAGTATTCTGTGCTTGTGTCAGGTGCAAGTCGTGTTTTTTGCACGAATGGGTCCCTCCTAAAATTTCTGCACCTTGATTTTTTTTTAAGATTTTATTTATTTATTCATGAGAGACAGAGAAAGAGAGAGAGAGACAGAGGGAGAAGCAGGATCCCCAAGGAGCAGGGCGCCCGATGCGGGACTCGATCCCAGGACCCCAGGATCATGACCTGAGCCGAAGGCAGATACTTAACCATCTGAGCCACCCAGGCGCCCCTTGATTTGTTTTTCTAATGATTATTTGGAGGAGGGTTCTGATCCGCACATGGGTCTGCCTGATTCTTTAACGGCCACATAGCATCTGGCTCTGCTTAGGGGTATGAGCCCCGGAGATGGACATTGGGGTTATTTCCGGTCTTTTGCTATTAGCTACTGCAGTTATACTTGTAGCCCTTCCTTTTTTTTTTTTTTTTTAATAACAGCTCTATTGCGATAGAATTCACATACCATACCCCCACTGAAAACGAACAATTTGGTGGTTTTTACTGTATTCACAGGTCTGTGCAACCAACCACCACCTACATCAATTTTAGAACTTTTCATCACCTCAGAAGGAAACCCTGTCCCTGATAGTCCTCACCCTCCTCCCCTGCCCTAAGCAACCATGAGTCTACTTAATGTCTCTATAGATTGCCCTGTTCTGGACATTTCCTATAAATGGAATTCTGTAACATGAGGCCTCTTGTGTCTGGCTTCACTCACTTAGTGTGATGTTGCCGAGGTCCATCCATGTTGTAGTGCATGTCGGTACATCATTCCTTTGTGCGGTTGAATAATATTCCATTGTGTGGATTTTCCACAGTTTGTTTATTTGCTCATTGATGGACATTTGGTTTGTTTCTACTTTTTGTCAACTGTGAATCGTGCTGCTGTGAGCATTCACGTACAGGTCTTTGTGTGGGTGTATGTTTTCATTTCTCTTGGGCATATGCCTGGGAGTATAATTGCTGGGTCATATGGTAACTCTGTTTAATTATTTTAGGAACTGCCAGACTATTTTCAAGGTGGTTACAGCATTTTACATTCCCACCAGCAGTGTGTGTGGGTTATCCTTGCATGCTTTTATTCTTCTAACGTGGGCATACCTGAAGGACAGCTTCCTGTAAGTGTTATTTCTGAGTCAAAGGTATTTTGGCAGCACCCCCACAAAAGCCCGTGAGGTACCTGTTCCCAAACTTGAATCCATGCTGCAGTGGGATTCCAGACTTGGCCATTCACAGGTGGACTCTGCTAGCTTGGCATAGTTTTTCATTTGATTTCTTATCATGAGTCAGATTAAATAGATTTCCAAAAGGTTTCTTCTGGCTTTGGAGCCAAGCAGGTCTCAGGTGGTACAGAGCCAGAAGCCCTGCTTTGAAAATGCCCATGTGAGTGAGCAGCCAACTTTCCTCCCAATTTTCCTTGCATTTGGCTACACTTGACCTCCCGAGTGGCCCAGATACCTGTTGGAGCTGGGGTGGGGTCGGGGGCCTGCTGGGGGTGGAAGGGGTACGAATGGTAAAGGCAGGGGTGCCATACTGAGAGTGGGCAGTGGGTCCCAAGCCTGACTGACAATCAGAAATACCTGGGGGACTTTTAAAAACACGAGCTCCTGGAACCTTCTCCTGAAGCTCATTCTAAGGGGCATGAGATGGGATTTTGTCTCCTGAAATCCATGTTCTGTAGTTCTCCCCCTTCGGTTAACTAAATGCAATTCTGCCCTCTCCCTGGAGAGTGTGAAGGTGACTGTCGTTCACTAGGTAGTTTGGGACTCAGTATTTTAATCAGCTCCCCAGTGGTCCTGGTAATTAGCTGGGTTGGGCATATGGTGCTCTTGAGACTTCCATCCTGCCATATCCCTCCTTCCCTCCGTGGTTGAGCATCCACGCTGCCAGGCACTGTCCTAGGTCCTGAACACACGGCAGTAATCAGCTTCAAATCTTCATGGAGCCGACCTTATTGCGTTAGGTACAAGCAGCATGGGGTTTGACTTGGAGCACTATTTGCGGAGCTTTGCTGTGTGGCCATGGGCAAGTTACATCTGCTTTCTGAGATTTAATTCTCTCATCTCTAGAAAGGGAATAATACTGGTGTCCGCCCCACAGGGTTATGGTTGGGAGTGAATAAATGCGTTAATATGTCAGAGGGGTTCAACATGGTGCATGGCATGGGATAGACACTCACCGTTGGGAACCCTTGCTGTATTTTTGCCATTGTTGTTGCTAACGAGTGGTGTCCAGCTTGTCCAGGGTGGCAAAGTCTTGCTCAGGTGTTTGGACTTATTCTGGAGGGCAGCAGGGATCCAAGGAAGGGTTTTCAGAAGAGGGATGACATGATCACATTTGCATTTTGGAACATGCTCTGGCAGTCCTTTGTGAGATGGATGTGTTCCTGGTGAAGAGACAGAAAAAGCCAGTTCTGGGGTAAAGAGCTTAGTGATGGTGCTCCCTGACCCCTCAGAGAGCAAGCCTTCAGGTCCTTGATGGGGACTCTCAGGGATGCATTTCCAGCTCGCTGTTGTAAGGGTGATGTCCTGAAGGGGACCCCAGGACATGGTGTTCCTTCAGGGCTGTAAGTTAGTAGGACCATGCAGGTTACTGGGACGCCTGCCAGCTTTCGTGAGGGAGCACGGACAGGTGGTTTGGAGTACTCGGCAAATGGTGTGTGACTTGTGGACAGGTATCTCACACACGCTGGCTGCCCATGCAGGCTTGGGTGACAGTAGACACACATGGGTCCTGCTGTCTAAAGCAGGGAGTGGTTCTCCACCAGGGCGATCCTCCCCCAGCCCACTGGGAGCATGCAGCAATGCCTGGAGATATTTTTTGTTGTCATCACTGGGGATGGGGTGTGCTCCCGGCATCTAGTGGATCAAGGCCCGGGATGCTGTTAAACATCTTATGATGCCCAGAACAGCCCGTACCACAAATAATAATCTAGTACAAAGTGTCAGTGGTGCTGAGGTTGAGAAATGCTGGTTTCAAGTCACGTGTGGCTTTGCTTAGAGCCATAAAATGTCAGTGGGTTTAATAGGGTCTCTCTTTGGACCCTGTCATGATGGAGCCCTGTCATGTGTTCAGTCCGTATTTGCTGTCCTATTGGGTGCTGGACCGCTGAGCAAGAGGAGGAAGGGTGGAGCCCCTGCCCCTGGTGGGGAACAGACCCAGCAACCAGCCGTTGCACGGTAGTGTGATCAGTACCACGGTGAGGGTCTGGGCTTGGTACCATGTGGGGAAGGATGGTTCTTGCCCATCTGGCTGTGAGGGGGATGGTAGGGAATAGGGGGAGGCCTCCTTGAGGAGGAGCTTCTTGGGTAGCAAGTTGAAGGAGAGGCTACCAGGTGGCCTGCAGGCTGGCTGTCTTGAAGTGGGATCAGCAGGTGCCATTGGATATGAGTGAGTAAGTTTGTAGGTCAGAGATTTGGGCAGGGTTCAGCTGGGTGATTTTACCCTTTGTGGCCTGGACTCAGGTCATTTGGTGGTACTCAACTGGTGTGTCCCTTGGTCCCGAAGGTTCCAGAATCTTCACTCCCACATCTGGTGCCTTGGTGGTGACGGGTGACTGAGTGCGTACTGCCTGCTAGTTCCAGAGTAGTTGGACTTAACGTGGTGCTTGGCATCCCCCTGGCGGGTGTGTTCCAAGAGTCCTCGGCAGAAACCGGCAGAAGCTCACGGGACAGCCGGGAAATGCTGTGTGTGTGGTTTTTCTTTCCTTCCGGGGCACCAGGTGAGTCTCCAGCAGAAAGGAGCCCACTTGGGGCCCTTGTTGGGTTAAACCTTTAGGGTCCTCCTGCATCTTCTGCATTTGGGAGGCCTGGAATGTGTCTCGGGAGCTGACGTGACGCCACCGGTTTGTAGAGTCCGAACAGGGTTGGTGCAGCGATGAGCTGCCTTTGAGGGTATGGACTGTGGCCGTTTCGACTGAGTAGGCTTGTATCCCAAAGTTTTCAGTTGCGCTTACGCATGTTTTCTCCATCTGCTTATTTTTGCCAAGTTGTGGCTGCCCGTGAATTGAGGAATTCTCAAAAATAGGAGCTGTTCTGTTGCTCTGGTGTGGGGTTCTTGGCTTGTCCCCCTGACAGTGACGAGAGCTGCCTCTAATGAGTGCTCTTTCTCTACCGCTCGGTGTGGAAGCACATTGCACACACCAGCTCGTCAGCTGCTCACAGTGAACCTGGGAAGCAGGCATCCTCCCTGCACTATTGAAGAGGACACGGAGTCGTGGGGAGTCTTAAGAGATGCGCCGAAGGCCACACAGCCACGACCAGGCACAACAACAATTTGTACCCGTTCTGTCTGCCTTCAGAGTCCCACATCCTGGTACTCTTAGCTGTTTCAGTTCCGTGAGTGATGGAGGAGCACCCCGCTGGGGACCCAGGAACAGCAGCTCCGCTCAGACTGCATTGTTGACAATGGGAGGGAAATGCATCCATTCCTTCTGTATGCACAGGACATGCTCTGCGGGGTGCTGGAGATGCCGGGAGGGGGGACTCTCGACGTGCCCTGGTGAGCAGGGAGACAGGCGTGCCAGGAGGCTGCACAGTGTGGACAGTTGCTGACAGCCAGGGCCGGTGAAAGGGTGGCGGTTCTGTTTCTTCGCTAATTCTGAAATCCATCCTGGGGCTTCATAGCCATTAGAAAAAATGAATATTTTTGAAAGTTGTTATCAGAATGTTTTCAAAACAATGTAGAAGTGACCGTTTTTCCACTGGCATCCTCCATCTAAGAAGAAATCCACATTCCTTCAAACATCCCATCAGAGAGAAGATTGAGCCAATGTCCTCAGTATCTATAAACCCATTTACTTGTTGATTTAGATGTGCACTTATGGTACATGATAGCACAGAGTCCAGAGCCCAGGTGCCTGGGGTCTGATCCCAGCCCTGCCACTTAGTTGGGGTGTGATCTTGGGCCACTTGTCATCTCTTTGTGTCTCCATTTCCACATCTGTAGAAGGACTAATGAAAGAGCCAATTGCACGAGACTTTTGGGAGCATGAAATGAATACATGGGAAATGCTTGCTACGTTGCTGAGCACACTAGAGGCAGGTGCTCAAGTATTAGCTGCTCTTGTCATCTTTGTCATGATTATTGTCATTGTCCTCATGGAACATAAAGGCAAATGGTATTGTAGAAAGGATGAGATCAACATTAGAACTTCCACTTACATAGTGATTTTCCTTCCTGGTTCCCTTCTGGGATATATATTCTCCATGATAGAGACTGCTGGTATAAAAAATAGAATTGACCTTTTTATTTATTTTTTTATAAAGATTTATTTATTAGAGAGCGCATGTGCGGGGTGGGGCAGAGCCTGATGCACGGCTCGATCTCACAACCCTGAGATCACGACCTGAGCTGACATCAAGAGTTGGACACTTAACTGACTGAACCACCCAGGCGCCCCAACCTTTTTATTCTTATTATTGGTTCAGACCTGCTTGTATACTGGATGGTTGAGGAATTGGTTTCTGTGGCTGTTCAAGGGTTTTCTGTCCTGGATCATGATCATTTGATGTTCTTAGAATTTGTTCCTTTGTTGATTTAGCAAATGCTCAAAGAGGACTGAGTGTGTGTCGGGTGTTACACTGGGCATTGGGGATGAAGTGGTGAACGGGACAGTGGACATCCATAAAGGAGCCTATAGTGCCTATAGTTTCGTGGGAAAGAAAAAGCCAAACTAATCATTCAATCATTTTGGATTGTGATGGATGCTAGGAAGGAAAGAAACAGGGCACTGTGACAGAGTGACCAGTGAAGAACACTGTTTGTAGGGCAGGTCTCAGAGAAGCCTCTCTGTGGAGGTGGCATTTGAGCTGAGACTTAGTGGGTGAGAAGGAGGGAGCCAGGGGAAGCTCTGTGGGGAGAGCATTCCAGGCCAAGGGCATGGCAGCAAAGCCTCTATGTTAGTCAGGGACAAAGTGCAGTGAGAAATGATTTCTTCATATAGTACAAGTTTCTCACCCAAGTCATGAAACAGTGGGTGGGATTGAGGGGTGGGGCTCTGCAGCCTGGCAGCACCATGATCCCCTAAGACTTCCGAGGCCACCTCAGGATCCTCTGTGTCCAGCCAGCATGCAGGGGAAGAGGGAGAGTAGAAGATGCCTTAGAGGGTTTTATGGGCCAGGCCTGCAAGGTGGAAGGTGCCCAACTTCCACAGACCAGAACTTGGCATGTGACTGGCTGCAAAGGATGCTGGGAAATATGGCCAACCTGTGTGCCATTAAGAATGGGAAATGGGTTTGGTGGGCATCTTGCAGGCTCTTCCATGGCCCTTAATTTTGGAGGGGGCAGAGGTGGCTGTAGGAACCCCACGGATAGCTGGAGGACAGAATGGTCGTAGGGGCTTGGTTGGGGGGTGGGTTCTTGTAGGAATCCAAGAAAACGAACAGCCTTACCCTGTAAGTGGCCTTTGTGGGAAGGGGAGGTGGTGGCACTGAGGACTCACCATCCTGTCTGTGACAAGAGCCCTTGGTGGTGGCTTTTCTCCATGGACTGGTCTCCCTTACATGTCCTGGCAGCCATGGCTGGATACCCCAGCAAAGCCTTTCTCCAGCTTGACTCCCTGTGCAGCCCCTTCCGGGAAGCCTGAGGTGTCCCCTCCCCCCCAGGGATGGGCTCCTGAGGGAGGCCTGTGATTGGCTGGGTCTTTTTGAGCCAGTGCACAGGGATTGGCTGTTTTGTGACCACTGCCCTCTCTTGGGTGTGGGCAGGGTAGGTGACCTCTCCTGTTGGAGAGTATAGTCTGGCAGCTTCAGGGCTTATGGGGGGGGGTCCCTGTGATGGGTTGAATTGTGACCTCCCCCCAGATTCATACATCAGAGCCCTAGCCCATGGTACCTCAGCATGTGACCTTATTTGGTAGTAGGATCCTTGCAGAGGTATTTGTTAAGGTCATGTTCTGTCGGGTGGGCCCTTAGTCCAATATGACCGTGTCCTTAAAAGGAAAAGAGACACACAGGGAGAGAAGGCTCAGTGATGAGGGATGGAGGGCTGGGAGTGGTGCATCTACAAGCCGAGGCATACCACCAGTGCCAGAAGGTGGGGGAGAGGCACGGAACAGATTGTCCCTCTGAACCCTCAGCAGGAACCAACCCTTCCAACACCTGATCTTGGGCTTCCAGCCTCCAGGGCTGTGAGAGACCGTAAACTGCTGCTGTTGAAGCTACCCAGTCTGTGGTATTTTGTTATGGCGGCCCTAGCAAACCAAGACATGCCCCTTTAAAAGGGGCCTAAGGGGCAGCGGGCTGAGCATGACCAGAGGTGTCCATCTGGCTGCAGATATGATGGGCAAGTTGGAGTTTGTTGTAAAGGAATTTAGGAGCCCTTGCTTTATTTCAAGGGTCCTCTTACTTCCTAGCTATGCTGGTCTTGACCCGGGCCACGAGGACTGGTTAAATCCGTGTACTGTGGCACCAGCCCACGTAGGTTTGAATCCTGACTCTCTAGCTTTTTAGCTGTGTGACCTTGGGCATGAGACTTAACTCTCTGTGCCTCTGTTTGCTCATCTGTAAAATGGGAAGGGTGGTAGTGCCTGCCTTCCAGGAGGCTCAGATGCGTGCCTGTAGGTCGATCACTGAGCACCTGGAAAGCCCTCTGTAAGGTTTGTTCTTGTTCTTACGGCTCATGCTTCTTTCCTGTCTCTTGGAAGTACATCCCGTGAATTCTCTCCTGCAGGCAACCAAGCCTCCCCCTTTGAAGGATCCTGTGCACGTCAAGTGAGTTGTAGTTGGTCCACTTTGGTGCTCCCACATCTCTTATGGATGTCTAGGGAGGGGGCTGTTAAAAGCGATCTCTCGGTAAATCCTTTTAGAAACTCATCCCCACTGCCCACCATCCAGTGGATCTTAGAAATGAGCATGCATTTTTCACACATCAGGGTAGCAGAGTGACATGTCTTGGGTTGTCTTGGAAGAGACCTAAGTGCCGTGCAGTTTGAGGTTGAAGCCAGAAATCCTGGTGTCGGCGTTTCCTGCCCTCTGGCAGGGCCTGACTTGGAGCCAGGCGCTCGGTGGTCCTTCCTCCCCAGACTGTGAGCTCCGGGTGTCAGGGACCTGTCTGTCCTGCTGACCAGACCAGCGAGGAATCCCCAGCGCTCTGCCTGTGCCTGGCCCACAGCGGGGGCCTCACGGGTACGTGTCCAGTGGACGGATCCGGGAAAGGACCTAGATGCCCCTTTCGGCCTCCGCCCGCCTTTTTCTCCCCAGACACAGTAGGATCTGGGGTTAAGATAAGGCATCCCTATGGCAACTTCCTTTTTAGCCACACACACACACACACACACACACACACACACAGCAGTTCCGGTCTTGGCCCTGTGCGTACTGGCTGCATGACCCTGAGCGATTCATGCCTCTTTGTGCCTCTGTTTTTGCATGCGAGAGATGGGATGATGGCAGAGCTTTCCGGCACGATCCTTGGGAAGATGATATTTGTAAATGTGTGTAACATGCCTGGTGTGGACCTGAAGGGGGAGGGGGTCTCATGCTCATGCTGCCCTGATGGCTGGTCAGGGCCTGCATTGGTGTGTTCTGGAAACGTTCTTGGGGCCATGTGGGGCCCATACACAGTTGCCACCACCTCCTGCTGTTTTGGGCACGCAAGGGGCCTTTTAGGGTTAAGGTCCCCTGGATTCCAGCCTTGGTTAGGCCAGCAGCTCTGGCCCTGGCCTTTCTCCTTGGAGGCTGGGGAGGCCCGCACTTGGGGAGGAGGAGTGTCCACAGGTCAGTGGTGATGTTTTGGGAACAGAATCAGAGACCATGCCATTTTAGAGCAGAGGGGCCCTTCCCACTCTCCCAGCACAGCTGGAGGAAGCTTTCACCTGCCCCGAGTTGTGCTGGCAGCCAAGGGTGAGTGCGTGAAGGAGAGGAAGAACATGGAGACTGGCAAAGTTAGGGTCTGCACAGCACGATAGAGACCGGGAGTGGAGACCCTGCGGGGCACCTGGTCGGGGGTGGGGTGCCAGCCTCAGGACTGAGGCTCTGCAGGATGTCATTGGCAGGTGTGCCCTCCCCGTCATGCCCGGACAATCCAGGCCGCTCCTGGCCTGCTGCCGGCCTCTGCTGCTTGGCCTGGGGCCTGGCTGGAGGAGGACCCGAGTCCCTGGAGAGCTGAGAAGGGCCCGAGCTGGGGTGGCCAAGCATGAACGTTATGCCAGTTTCCTGCTGGAGACCACTCTGAGCTGATCTCCTCTGACTTCCTTGTGCTTGCCCTGATTAAAATAACTCCGGTTTTGTTCTCCTCGAAGAAGTAACGTGTCTTCATGCGCAGGAATGTCTTTAACTACAACTGGGTGAGGGTAACAGCCCCTTTCCCCTGACCCAGAGGCAAGTGTGTGAACACTTGGTCTACACCCTTCCGGGTGTTTTTTTTTTTTTTGGAAGACATAGATACATTTTTATAAAAGGCTGTCCTTTTACAACATTCTGGTGTCATGCCTTTTCCATTTTGTGCTCTATTGTGACCATTTCTTACTATAAGCTGTTCTCTTAAGTCCTGGCTGCCTGGGTTCAGATCTGGGTGCTGCCACTTAAAATGCTGGTGACCATGGACAAGTTAGTTAGCTTCTGGTTGTACCCATCTATAAAGTGGGGTCATAGTAGTGCCTCCCTTAGGGGATTCTCACGGACATTAGCTGAGCAAATTAGGTTGCACACTTTGAGATAATGCCTCACAACTATCCCAGAGCCCCCAGGAAGAGTCGTGATTTCTGTGTACTCTGTGGTAAGCAGAATAAAGCCCCCTTCCCCACCCCAAGACATCCCCACCGTAATCTCTAGAATCTGTGACTACGTTATCCTGTAGGGCAAAAGGCTCTCTACAGATGTGATTAAGAATCTTGAGATGGGGAGATTATTCTGGATTACCTGGGTGGTCCTGATGGAATCACAATGGTCCTTGTAAGTGAAAGACGGAGGAGGGTCAGAGTCGGAAGAGGGGATGTGATGACAGACCAGAGGTCATGGAGGTTAAATTAGTGGCTTTGAAGGTGGAAGGGGTCCATGAACCAGCCGCAGGCCACCTCCAGAAGCCAGAAGAGGCACGGGAAAGGATTCCCCCATAGAGCCCTCCCAACACCTTGATTTTAGCCCAGTGAGACCCATACCTGACTTCTGACCTGCACAAGTGTAAGATCATAAATGTGTGTTGTCCTAAGTCACTGAGTTTGTGGTGATCTGTTATAGCAGCCATAGGACATGAATATACCCTTCTGTCCAACTTAGATCATGTTTCCTTTGGGTCATTGTTTTTAATAAATTTTAGGGTGCCTGGATGTCTCAGTCGGTTAAGCGTCTGCCTTTGGCTCAGGTCATGATCCCAGGGTCCTGGGATCGAGTCCCATGTCAGGCTCCTTGCTCAGCGGGGAGCCTGCTTCTCTCCCTGCTTGTGCTCTCTCTCTCTCAAATAAATAAAATCTTAAAAAAAAAAAAAGATTATACACATATAGCTAAGTCCTCACATATACTCCTTCCTCCCCAGGTAAACCAGGATGCTGCTTTGATAATTATTCCCATGCGTATTTTTTACATTTCAAAAAAATTTAATCTTTAATTAGCATATAATCTGTTAGTTGTGAGGTATCCACATTGTTATCAGTGGCTTTATTTTAACTGCCCTTTGGTTTCACTCAGTGAGTGTCTCCTGATAGGACACCTGTCCTCATGATGATGGTTATTTTGGTTTCCTGTGGTGGAAATCTTTCCAAGTACACGACTTCCGTTTTGTTTTAAATGGCTATAACCTTTCCACCTTATCTTTTTATTTGTATTTGTTTAGTCAGTTTTCTATTTCTGGATATCATGAAGTTTATTATTTCGCTATGTCAGACATTGATCCTGGGAATATTTTTAGTGCTAACCCTTAGGCACGTCCCTGGTCATTTCACAGGATAAATGTTGAGAAGAATTGGTGGGAGCAAGGGAAGGCTGTGTCACGGGCTCTGGGCGCCGTGGTCCGTGGTCCGCAGGAAGGCCACGCTGATTTGCATGCTCATCCACCACCCTTGCTAGCATCCGGGTGTCTGTGAACTCTTACAGATGTGAAATTCATAGGCAGTAAAGGGTCCCCCGAACATTGTGTTTCCTTGCCCTGGTTGGGCATTCTTTCTTTCCGAGGCTGTGGAGCCAGTAGCTTGATTCCTCTGGTGACTAAAGGCCGTGGATCTCACCCCGGCATCAACGTGACCCCTTGGGATGGGGGTAGGAAAACTTAGGAGCCCATCCTGTGGGCTGAGGCCACCAACGGGCCCTCATTTAACCCACACAGCAACCCCAAGAAGTTGGTATTTTCCTATTCTTCTTGATGAGAAATTGGATGTTGAGGGAAATCTAGTCGTTTCTGAGGTTGACAGCTAGGATATGGTTCCAGTTATTCTAATTGCTCGTCTCATGTGTGTGTCAGGCCATCTTCTGGGATGAGTTGGATGTCCTGTTCCTTTCTTGAGAAGAAGGCTTTGAAGGACCTTCCATGTTGGAATTGGCTCCAAATGTACGTAACTCTAGAGAGCTGCCAACCAGAGCTAGGCCTGCCAGGAAGAGGCTGGATTCTGATTCCCTGATCTCTACTTCTAGCACCAGGGACTCTGTAAATGTGCTATTGAGCTACTACTTTCTTTTTCTTTTTTTTTAAATTTTTATT